TCTTTCAATCCGCCAGGTAGGGAAACTCTCTCCCCTTCCCCTCTCTTGTAACTTTTATTTTCCAAGGAATAAAATGAGTCAAAGAGTCCGGGAACACCACTCTTCACCCCGACGGGACATGCCTTGCTCTCCTCGTCTTCTCCTCCCTATCTCTTTCTCTTCCTTTTCCTCGGTCTCTACGCTCTATGCCTTAAGCATGATCGTCCAGCTTTGGATTCAACATGTATGTATGAAAATGCCCTAAAAAAGAAATAGAAATAACTGGAACTCTAAAGATTTGCGATTTGCTTCTTCCATTGCCATTGTTAAATTCAATCAAGGAAGCAACTGTTAGTGAAGGTATCATGGAATCATCTGTTCAAGTGCTTGGATCTTTAATCATATTGTCTGTAAATTTACAGATTATCTTGTACTTCTGTACATGATGAATTTATTTTTTCATTCTTCCTCTTTGAAGAGCAAAGAGATGGAAAATGGCTTTCTTTTTCCATTGTTTTACTGAAAATTGTTTAAATGGGGCAGTTACATACATTGCACGCAATTTTTATGTATTTACTCCTAAACTTGCATATTTACTCACATAGCACTCAAATTGTTAATGAGGCATTTACATACATAACACTCAAAACTATTCAAATTACATATCCCACACCTAAACTTCACTATTTACCGCCATCATATCCAAAATATTTGATTTAAAACAAAAAAAGAAAAGAAAAAAAATCTCCCTCTTTTAAAACTCTTTAACCTTGTTGCCCATCTCCGCATGCAACTTCGCACAAGATAACTCTGGCGAGCTACTTGCCAACTTAGAAATGATTTTGTTTTTCATTGAAGACTTACCTTTTATATGTTAGGCATGAGATATATAATTACATAAGAATTATGTGCCACAAATGCAAATTTCTCTTTTTAAAATATATGATAAAGTCTACTATACTAGGTAAGAATTGCTTGTCTTTAACCATGCACTAACTTATTCCTTTGTTGCCTATATGTCTTGAGTGATGATACTGCTAATAAACTTACAGAATCTCTTGTTCTTATGAACTGATTCTTTATCGTCTTTTTTTCGGCAGGTTTACGATGTAACAAAGTATTTGGATGATCACCCTGGAGGAGATGATGTTCTCATATCGGCTACTGGTATTTCAAAATTTCTTTTTTCTTGTAAATTTTTATTTGCAAATATGTACGGGTTCTTCAAATATTAGGAAGATTTACATACATATCGCTCAATTCCTATTTACATTTTAACGCATAAACTTCCATTGTTACATGCATGAAAAAGTGTATTTCCTTTTTATTTAAGTTAAAATGGTGGTATTTTCTTATGTTACATGAAAGATTTGGGTGACATAAATGTCAAAAAGTAAAATTTAGGTGTTAGATATGTAAATTAATAGGAATTTAATGGTGTGTATGTAAATGCCCTTAAATATTATTTAGTATGATTACTATCAAGGCTAAAATCCCTCGGGTTGCGGCTACTGAAATTCAAAGTAAGTCGGTTCACCCTCACCCTCTTTTGGTTCATTTAGTCTTATTTTGATGTTGTTGATGTCCAAATGTTATAAAAATTAAGAAGATTTACGTACATACCACTTAAATCTTATGTATTTCCATATTTAACACCTAAACTTCAATTTTTACATATATGATGCCTTATATATCGATGAATAGTTGCATTTCACTTTTTAAAGGTTAATAGTAGTATCTTTTATGTGTTATGAAAGATTTGGGTGGTTTAAATGTAAAAAAGCAAATTTTAGGGGTTAGATATGTAAATACATAAGAATTGGGAGGTATGTATGTAAATGCCACTAAGAACTTAAACTTTCATCATACTTACACTTGTATCAGTCTACCTCAATTTTAAAGGGGATGGGATGGTGGATTGTTGATAGATAAGCATGATACAAGTCATTAAATGTGCCACTAATCATCATTAAAGAGCATTTTATCATGCAAATATGTTGATGAATTTACATACATACCACCCAATTCCTATGTATTTACATATCTAACACCTGAACTTCACTTTTTCTATATATACCACCCAAATCTTTCATATTACATAAAAAAATACCACTACATTAACTTTTAAAAGATGGAATACACATTTTCATGCATAGATGAGTTGCTGTGTATGTAAAAATTGAAGTTTACTGGTTAGATATGTAAATACATAAGAATTGGGCGGTATCTTCCAAACAACAAACAAGAACCTGCCTAGGCACTTGAGTATTTAGCTTTTCATTAGCATGAGTCCAAAACACCTTGAAGCCATTAATGTCTACAATATATTCATTTCTGCAAACTTCAATTGAATTTTGGGGCATTTACATGCACAGCACACAATTCTTATGTATTTACATATCACACACCTAAATTTGCATATTTATACATATAACACTCAAATCTTTAATATCACATCAAAATTAGCTCTATTATGAAAAGGTACGTTCAATCATTAAAAAGTGGTAATAGAACTAATTTTAATGTGATAGTAAATATTTGAGTGTTGTGTGTGTAAATATGGAGTAAATATTACGTACATATAAGATGTGTGTGGATTGGTAGTATTCTGGTGTTATTGTGATGATATTATATCGCAATATCATCAAAATATTACAAAAATAGCACATACTGCAGTGTTCGAATAGTGTTTGTGTTGATATTGTACTGCAATACCACCAAGATACGAACAGAATAACACATATTATAGTATTCTGGTGGTATTTGTGATGTTATTATACCGCAATACCACCACAATACAACCAGAATACCACCAATCCACACCTACAGTGTCCTGCACAATATTTTCTCGTAAACACGAAAGTTTTGGTGTGAGATATGTAAAATTCTTGAAATTCGTGTGCCACGCATGCAAATTTCCCTCAAATTTTTAAGCTAAAATCTCTCATTTTGCTCCATGAAGGCAGAGACTCAACAGAAGAATTTGAAGACGCAGGGCACAGCAAAACTGCCAGAGAACTCATGAAAGATTACTGCGTGGGAGAGATTGATAAATCTCATGTAAATGTGATTTCTGAGCTTGAGATATTCACAAAGGAAAAACCTTCGAACTATGAATTGTTCAATAGTCCCACATTGCTTAATTGGCTTCTGCCTGCAGCATTAGTTGGCCTTTCTGTCTTGGCAGCTGCAGTTTTCTATACACGGAAGAAGTGAAGAGTTTTGGAATGATTCAAACATATTTGCATTTTTGACCCTATAGAAAGCATTATGTAATTCTTAATCTCAAATATGAGAAGATTTTTTTTACATGCATATTCTTGATAGAACTGTGTTATAGATTCTTGTCCTGATATGTATGTTTATACAATTACCAATATAATATGGGAAGATTTGCATACATATCACTCGATTTCTATGTATTTACACGTATAACACCTGAACATCGATGTTTACACATACGACCTTACGTGCATATAAAAGGGTGTATTTCATTTTTTAAAAGTGAAATATGTATATCTATATCTATATAGGGTGTTATATCACAGGTTGTGTTAATCTAAACTTAGATATAAACATATATAATGTATTATTATATATATATATATATGATTTTCTTATTTTGTGATAAAATGAGTCTAACACAACTGAACAAAGAGTTATTCATGTTTGGTTTTTTTATAATTCAAGCTTAAAAAATGATTCAAACACGAGTTATTTAACAAGCCAACACGAGTTATTTGTAAACAACGAGCTTTTTTGACAGCTCTATCTATCAGTTACACAAATGATCTTTTATTTATAAATAAATTAAAAAAATTACATACATTACTTTTCATTAAGTTGGTTTTACAATCTAACACTCAAAACTTCAATTTTTACGTGCCTACCATTATACCTATGCATGAAAAGATGTATTTCATTTCTAAATATTAAAATGGTAATGATTTTTACGTGATATGAAAGATTTGGGCGGCATGAATTTTATGGAAATTTACGTACAAAACGCCCAATTCTTATACATTTACCTTTCTTACACCCAAATTCTCATTTTTACAAAATCAACACCCTAATTATAGATGAAAAATATGAATTCTACTGTTGGAGAGTGGTGAGAAAGATAAATTGGGCTGTGCATGTAAATTCCCCTAAATTTAATAGTAAAACTTAGGTGGTAGATGTGTAAATACAAAGGAATTGGGTGGTATGTTTGTAAATGTCTCTTCCAACTATTTGCACTGTTCTGGTAAAGCTTAAAACATCACTACTTCTTTAAATCCAAACGGTTGCCTGAGAATTATATGAAGACTTATGGATATATGTTTATAAGAGAATACCAGATGATTTCAGCGCATTGTCTAAATTTTACTCTATATGATTAAGCACATGAACATATAAAACATTCATCACTATGAATGTAACATATGTGAAAATACAAGACATGAGATTTATACATATAAATGGTATATTTCTAAGATTTGATCGACCCAAAGCTTATATTCATACAACAACAATAACAAGCCTTTATCTCGCTAAACGCGACCCGCAGGGTTCGACCCTCGGCCCGCGTCCAGTGTAAAAACCCAAACGCATTTTCGGATAAGCTGTCGAAACGTATTTTCCAAACGGTAATGCGGCGTGTTTTAAAAACGTCGAGCTGCCCCAAACGGGGCCTAAGATATGTTCTGAAACTTGTTAAATGCATCAAAATTTCAAGTCCATGTCTAATTATTGACTAAATAACAATGATAATTTAGCACAAATTACACAAATCTGACGCATGTAGAGCTCAGCCAAACTCACAAATCTCAAAATTACAAAATTAGACTCAATATTTCTCTCAAATTTGGGCATAAAAATTTACACTTCACTCATTATCTGAATAATTGAATTTTATGGAGTGTGATTGTAAATCTATCTGCCCTCCCCTGTATGATCCCCGTTTTTTCTTGGTCTTCTCATGCCTGAAATCCCTGCAAATTCATGCAAAACAATTAGAAGAATTGCCATCCATTCTCAAATGTAATGACCAAGCATTCAGAAGGTTTAGGAAGATTTTGCAAGCATGCCCACTTAATTCCTATGTATTTACATATCTAACTTCTTAAATTTACTTTTCATATTAATAACACCCAAATCTTTCATATCGCATATGTAGATACATGGGAATTACGTGCATCAGTAAGATGTTAGATATGTAAATACATGGGAATTACATGGGTATGTATGTAAATGCCTCAAAGTTTAAATGAATGAAGAAACTGAATGATGCTGAACCATGTAGGTGCACTGTGAAATCCGTGTTACACCGTTGCTAGTCGAGTTCGGATTGAATCGAGCCATCCTAGAGCTAGACTAGACTCGCCTGATAGCGGCTACGGCTTTTATAAATGTGATTATAAGAGTGTGGGGAACATAACATTTAAGAGAGTTACAGTGAGAATTATAAATGTATATTTTTGTTATATTTTACGAGATCTGGTTGCAAAAAAAATTATTTCACACCAAAACAAATTTTCAAGAAGCAGTTCTCATGACACACTCGGAAAACTATCTCAAATAGACTCATAAGCAATGATGTTTACGTATGTGCCACTTAACTTGTGCGTATTTATATATCTAACACCTAAACTTCATTTTTTTACACTTTGACATCTTGCGTATGGATGAGGTTTATTTCGTCTTTTTGAAGTTAAAAATGGTGATATTTTTATGTGATATGAAAGATTAGGGCGGTATAAATGTAAAAGGTAAATTTTATGTGTTAGATGTATAAATTCATAAGAATTGTGTGGTATGTATGCAAATTTCTGAACTTTTACCTAAAAGAACAGTCATCTTAATGTAGTTCAAAAGCATCCTTAATCTATCTATCTAGCTTCCTACAACTTCTAAAAACAGAATAAGAAAGTAAAAAACAATCTTACCAAATGAAATAAAAAGCACATAGAAAAAGGGGCTTTTACATACATATCCCAAACAATTCTTATGTATTTACATATATAACACCTAAACTTTCATATTTACATAAATAACACTCCAATTTTAAAAGCATGTCAGAAACACCACTACCACTAACTTTTAAAAGCGAAGTACACATTTTCATGCATAGGTTCATCACACCGAAGTGCTGGAAATGTATATATCAAAATTTAGGAGAAACATGTAAAATACAAATGAATTATGTGGTATGTATGTAAATTTCCAAAGAAAAAAAATAGGGAAATATACACACAACAATCAGGTTGATGAATAGTACCTTCCTTTAACTTGACCCAGAACTTCTTGAGCCTTTGCACCATAACCAGATCCTGAATCATCCTGTTAATTATATCCAAGGGATCAAAGAGGTGAGCATGGGATGGAATTGTAAATAAAAGTTGTGTGGGGCCACCGGTCCACCAGTCACGTGACCAAATGGAGGCCTCACATGACATTTAGAATGGAGATGAAGAAAAGGAAGCTAGAAATTATCAACAGAATATGGAATACTAATATGAATTAATTTATATTAAAAAAAATAATAATGAAACAGAAAATGGAATACCAGAGCCCAATAGGAATTGTCCTGCAGCCTTTCATTAGCAAACTGGACTTCATCAACTTTTACTCTTTGAAATGCATTTAGAGCTTTTGGCTGCATGATGACACATCAATAGACCAGAGTTTAGGACTATGTGACTTTCCTTGTATTAAATTATAATGATTTAAGTTTAAATTGATTAAATATTTACTGTACAGCACCAAAAAAAAAAAAAAGTTAGGCAGCTAAAAGACCAAATAAAAAATAGCATGCATAGTTTGCCAAAGAAGCATTCATCAGGGGAAACAATAAATTAGTAGAATGAAATGTTCAATTTTTGTTCAGACATACAAGTATCTTATCCTCCATAGTAGGATAAGAGATGAAGATCAAGGATAAAATTATTACATGTACTTATTGGATCAATTTTTGATGACTCATTAGGTGATAAAAATGGGATATCTTTTATTTGACACATGAATTTTATAAACACATGATCAACAATGGTCGATTTTATAGGTAATATAAGTTGGATAATCTTTTTAAGGACAACATAAATGCAATAAATACATAAGTTAATAAAACTCGAGAAATATAACTTTTTTGATGAAGCTGGAATGCATGAACCTTGGAAGCACGGACGCTTGTAAACTACTTTCATGTAAATATCGAACATATGGCTCTGACATGCCCCAATTAAGGGGTAAAAATTAGCTAGATGCGGCTCGAAAGCCTATTCGAATGTTGGCTCAAATCGAGATTGGATTGAAGTCAGTCGAGCTATGAGCTGAAACCATAGTTGAACTTTTTTCAAGCAATTCAAAGCTATACACAAATCGACTTGAAATTCCTTTTTTTTATTATGCAATACACACACATTGAAAATGTGTCGATGTTGATCTTGACGAGAACTAACAGTTCAGAGGAGGGGTGAACGATAAAGGAGGGCCCACTGACATAAGATTAGAAGGCCACTTATCCTTTTAGATGTAGTCGTTCGAGCCAAAACAAGCAAGGTCAAAGCCGACCAAGTCACGAAAGATGACTAAATGACCCGAATCAAAGTCACTCGGTCAAACAAAACAAAGAGACATCCAAGCAAACCGACATGAAGAAACTGACTAAAGAGAAGATCTAGCCCCTCAGCTTCTCTAATCATACGTGGGGTGTCCAGAAGCTCCACCATCTATTATTAAGGTTCGACAGTCATACTGACTCAACAGACTGAGCCAATTATCTCGATCCGAAGCCAATTGATCTTAGCCGACCGGCAACACAAACTAAGCCCAGCCAATCGAGTCGGCCTTGCCGAACCAAAGCCATACAAACTCAACCGAATGAGCCAAAGAGCAGTCAAGCTACAGACTCATACCTATAAAACACTAAGAATATCTTGCACAAACCCAATCAAAGCAGGGGCAAAAATATAAGATCATCACATTCAATGTACAAAGGAGGGCAGATACACCCAAATTTAAATAAAAAGGTCGGGAAAAGTCAATGTGATTTATATAATTTACTTATCACCATTCTCTATCTCTCTATCTCATATCTTACGCTCTATTCCTTGGGGTGATTAACAAACAAATCGAGATTCAACATCATAAACGATGCAGCGAGCATGGATCATACCGCAGACAAGAAGAAGATCCTCTAACAGAGACACCAATACTATGGAGTGTGGCAGAGAGTTTGTGAATCAGCAGATCCAAGAGCTGAATGATCAAATATTGGATGTCATCCGAGAGGCACTGGCTCAAGAAAGAGAGCAGCATCCCCGAAAGAAATAGTTGGCGTCCAACAGCTAAAAAGCCTACCTAGCCTTGGAAAGAGAAGAAGACTCCCAGTACTTCGATAATGTTGGGTCGACATCGATCAACTGACACCGGTTCGGGCATATTGAGGCATCCTGACAGTCATAGATTGTGTTGTCTCGATAAATCTCTGAAGTCTAGCCCCTGGAAAGGTTCAAAATCCCAACATTAGTCCTATAGGTGCGGGACCGGTCCGACCAATCACATAGCCCCGTTTGATTCGCTTGTATATGTTGAGAATCACCAACTTGTTCAAATATTGTCTCCTCTTTAACATGTTGTGTGAGTCGGCTCTCAGGTTGTTCAATGCATTGTCTCCAAGAGTGATTATGTCGTTCACTGACTTCAAGCAAATGTTTGTGGCGCGGTTTGTCAACACCCTAAAGCCCCAAAAAAATTTGCAGGCCCCCCCGACCTAGAGCACGTCCCCAAAAAAACTCGCAGGCCCCCCGCAAAACCAATAGGGACAGAACGAGGGCTTTCACTCACTTCCATAATGAGATATTGGAAGTGCAAGACCTAGAGCACGTCCCCAAAAAAACTCGCAGGCCCCCCGCAAAACCAATAGGGACAGAACGAGGGCTTTCACTCACTTCCATAATGAGATATTGGAAGTGCAAGACCTAGAGCACGTAGTAGCTCATATCACCCTAGCTCAAGGATTGGGAGGACCCTTCAGGTACGCATTGGGTTTACAACAACCGATGACACTGGTCGAGGGATGTACACTCCCCTAGCTCAACCACATATCAGATGAAAAGTATAACTTCACCCCTGACTCTCCTAGAGCAAAGTCTTTCACTCGTCGCACGTAGAAGAGGGCCCCCAAAGGCGACAAGTGGAGACCGAGGGATGATTCACATCCTTCTGCCCATTTACGATACGAAGACACTCGACCACTTTGGAACCATAGGGTGATCGATATGGCATACAACCGGGGGAGTCAGGCTCAATATCCTAACCAACGACCTACTCGGTACAATAAGTGCATACTGTCCAAACATGAATTATCCAAGAAGATTATGCTGAGAGTTTCGATGACAGAGATAATAAAGGTCATTCAAAATAAAAAATACTTTAAGAGAGTGCCCCGATGAAAACCAGAGCCTACCTCTAGGACCCCAAGAAGTATTGAGCCTAACATCAAGACTATGGCCAAAACACAAAGGAATGAAAACACTTCCAAAGCCAAATCGAGGAGCTAATCAAGGCGAAAAAGCTGAGAGAATTTGTAGCTCCAGTAGTTGGAGATACATCTCGTCGAGCCATCCAGAAGAGGCATTGGTCGGGAGAATTATGCACTGCCACCATTGATCCCAAACGCAACTCACATCCCCCCATCGTTTTCACCAACGAGAATATGCCCCGGAATCCCTACAACAACGTCATCGTCGTCACTGCATTGAACAACAACTACCAGATTGGTAGCATTTTTATCAATATCGCAGCTCATTGAACATCCCATTCAAATCAGTTTTCGATAAAATGGGTCTTGACTGACTTACCCCGGCAGCAGACCCACTCTATGCTATTCTAGCAAAAGCGCTAGGAACCATTGCGTTGTCAGTTATTTGGGCTCAAAATGATAAAAAGTTTACTAACATAGAGGACTTCCTGGTGGTTGACTCTGCACCGACTTAAAATGCAATCTTCGACCGCTCCTTGCTCAACTCTTTCAAGGCCGTTACCTAGACTTATCACATGCCAGCGAAGTTTCCTAGCGATGAGAAAGTAATCATTGTCCGAGTTAATCTGGAGCAACCGTGCACCGCATATCTCCAGGCGGTCAAAAGCATCGAGCAAGAGTCACTCGAGCTCGAATATCTGCATGAAGGAGATCTTGAGACCAATGAGATCACTCTTCAAATTTCGATGAACAAGAGCAAGCACAACAAATTTGTTCTAATAAGTGAATCTTTTGATGTGTATTCAAAAAATATGTTGATTAATATCTTTCGAGGCTACTGAGATGTTTTCGCCTTGTCCGTTGCCGAGATGCCTGAGATACTAATCTATGTCGCATGCCACCGCTTGTCAGCCGACGCAGAGAAAATTGCATTCATCACTAGCAAGGATGTGTACTATTATAATGTAATACCTTTCGGGCTGAAAAATATTAACATTAAATATTAGCAAATGATAGAGGTAATATTTTTTAAGTAAAGATGAAAAAACACTGAAGTGTACGTGAATAATGTGCTGGTAAAAATAAAACGCTCGAGTAATATATAAAAGATCTAAAAAAAAAACTTTAAAACACTTAGAAAATTTAACATGAGACTTAACCCACTCAAGTACACATTCAGGGCATCCATAAACAAATCTTTAGGCTACCTCCTAACCTAGGATTAAATAAAAGGTAATCGAGAAAAGGTGTTGGCGCTAATTAACATGACGTTCCCTCGAAACAGCAAAAAAGTACAAAAGCTGACCGATCAAATCGCAGGCCCAAGTCAGTTTATCTCAAAATTGAGAGACAAGTCTGCTGCATTTTTCAAAACTTTGAGACAAACGAAGAACTTTGTTTAGTCAGATGAATGCGAACAAGCATTTATAAAGTTGAAATACTCCTTAACATCGCCACCACTCCAAAGCGCAAAATCAAAACAAGAGCACTCTCTACGTTTGGGGGTCGAACTTAAAGTCATCAACTCAGTCTTAATCCGAGAGGAGCTATGTAAGACAAGTCCTCTGAGGCGTTGAGCTTAAGCGCCTAATTTTGGAAAAACTAACATTTTCTCTCGTTATTTCCGCTTGCATGATTCACCCATAATTTCAAATGCATACAGTCAGAATCATTATTCATCACCCACTCAAATATGTCATCACTCGGCCAGAGCACTTCGGTCGGCTCCTCAAATGGGTGGTGGAACTCAATGAATTCAATGTATCTTATGTGCCCTAGACCTTAATCAAAGCACAAGCGTTAGTTGATTTCCTGACATATTTTTTTGAACCAAGCGAGTTGGGCGAAAAAGTTGCAGCCGATAGCCAAACATGAATCCTGCACATTGAGGACGCGTCTAGCCAAACTGAGGCGAGTCTCGTTCTTACTTCGACAAGTCTGACCAGGAAACAACTATACCATTCAATCGAAATTTAATTCGAAGTCACCAACACCCAAGTTGAATACAAAACTTTAATTATTATACAGTGTTTCGCTTATGAGAAGGGCGTTTAATATCTTCTGGTGAAATCTATCTTGTAGATAATAGTGTTAAGTGAACAGACAAATAGAGGCCAAAGATAAGATGATGTTTTGAGATAAGAAATCAAGGTCTTTAAGGTCGAAAATATCAC